CTCTATGCCCAAATGTGAGGCTTGAACTTATAACCCTGAGATCAAGAGCCACATGCTCTACAGACTAACCCAGCCAGGCATCCCACCTGCAACACCATTTTTAAAGGCTGAATATTCTATTATATGAATGTACCATAATAAGAAGCTCTCATTATGTGCCAGGCATGTTTTATCTGACTCAATTCTCACAACAACCCCACGCTGTAAACATTATTATTGTCCCCATATTAAAGATTAGAAAACTGAGGGTCAGAGAAATTAGGCAAGTTGTTCAAGTTCATACAGCTAGTAATTGCTAGAACCAGGATTCAAACACAGATAATGAAGACTCATTCATTTAACCTATTCCCTAACCATTATATTGTTGCCACATTTTGTTTTTTGCTCACTCATAAATAATGCTGTGACAACAACATTTAAGCTCATTTTTGCACATATCCTTAATGAATTCTTTAGGAGAAATTCATAGAGATGGAATTTCTTGGTCACAATGCTATTAATACACATTGCCAAATTGCCCTCCAGAAAACTTATACAAATTTACTTTCTAGCAGTGTATGAGAATATCAATTTCCTTCTCTCTCCAACATTAGATATTATGACTAATTTAAAAAATTGTATGCCCATTCTTAAAGCATACTATAAAGTCCAAAGCAAGTAGAAAATATTGTGATTTATCCACAGTTTTGGATATTCTCCCCCAATGCTTCTCTTTATTAGCATCGATCACTGAGAAGTTGATATACAGTGATATGCACCAAATCTGAAAAATAAAGGTTTTCCCTTAAAAAGATCCATCAAATATGTATACACACACATTCATCTTTGAACAAACAGAATTTTAATACATTTAATTCATACTACTGATGCGTGTATTGTTATCTCTCGAATGCCCAGAAAGTTCACAGTATAAAATGTGAAATACTCTAATTGGAAAGACATGCTAACCTGAACTCAAATATGTACATATGCTCAACAAAGAAATTATGGTACTTTAACTGTATTATGATGACATGTTATAAAAAACAAAAAGAAGAGAATTGCATGGTATGGCAAAATGTCCTAAACTATGAAAGACTTCCTGGAAGAGATTATTTTTAATTGATATCTAAGGAATGGGAAGGAACTGGTTAGTTTCAGGTAAAGGCTTAGAATTTCCTATTGGAAAACTTTATCTAGGAAATCCTGAGAAGACTGCCTGACTAAAACTGATGAGATCAGCAGGAATGTACTGTGAAACATCTGGGGAAGGTAAGATTTGACCTTGAGGTAAAAAATCATAAGCCACAATATATGGATTAAATATTGGACCTGGCATTTTTTAGGAATGATTTGAAAAATTAATTGGAGAAAAGAAGGCTTCTGGAAGAGAATCTCCCATAGGTTAAGTATTATAGGTGGTGTTTGCAAGGGAATTACCTAAAATAATTTTTCTACATGAAACAAAGTATTAAAATAGAAACAAAGCATTTCTGATATGTCAATAAACTTCACTGCGTGTCTTTTGTATAAATTTCTCATTGTGCCTTTCTTTCACACTCTGGAGGTGGGAGGTGGAGGGAGGGAGTCCTTAGAAAGAAGCAAGAGTGCCAGGACCAAGGAACAAGGTCATGGGGGTGGGGAGGAGTAGAAGGTGTTGGGCAGTATGGTGGGCGAAGCAATTCCCAAGCATTATCTGCAAGGAAGGAATTAAGATAGGAAAGATCAAGCTCAGTTCCATTTAAAAGAGAAACCACAGAAAACTGATACTGTAAAGGCATTAAATTCTTTGGAAAGAATTTTAACTTTACTACGTTTGCTATTTTTAACCCATTGCTTCTGTAGTCACTAGAGATAAAGCACTTAGAAAATCCTGAACAAGAGCTGTATGCTATGTTTATCAATGCCTCTGCCTAGTTCCTGCAATGACTGATCCTGAACATGAATTAAATGTAGGCTAGCAAGACAGAGCATAAAGCAGGGCCAGGAATGTATTATGCACTCACTACTGGGTGGGCTGTAAATTAAATTTAGTTTGTAGCTGCCACATGAAAAGCTAAACCTAATCAGATAAATATCAGTAGCCATAAAATTAAAAGGGAAAAATTGTTCAAGAGCACAAACATTTCTGACAAGAAGACGAAACGTTTCTCCTGCTTTTCTTGGAGTAGGAGGGAGTGGAGACAGAAGAAATGTGGCCACATCCAATTCAACAGAGGTGCCAGGAAGAGAATTCCTAGTGGAAGAGAGGGGAACAGGTACACCAACCCTAGAGTTCTCTGGATATACAGCGAAGTGATAAGATGGGGGGAAAGTATTGTGCCTACATCAGAGGAGGGCCTTGAGTTTCTGCTCATCAGAAGTGGGGTGGAGTGATTTTCTGAGAGTACAGAGGAAAATATTGGAGCTTAATTAAAGTAATTGTGAGAGAACAGATTTTTACAAGGGTTGGAAATGTGCGTTTTTATCTGCATGTTAAATTGCATCCATGGTTCTTCAATGCACTCTACCACTGCAATTTTTTTCTAAAACCCTTTTACCTACATTGAAATATATGAAAAGCAGTCCTGATTTTGAAAATTCTTTTTTTTCCTGATTTTGAAAATTCTTAATTGAGATAAGATACATGTAGAATTTGCCAACTTAACCATTTTAAGTGTACAGTTCAGTGGTGTTAACTATATTCATATTGCTGTGCAACCAATCTCCAGAACTCTTTTCATCTTGCAAAACCAAAACTCTATACCCATTAAACACCCTCTCATTCCACCACCATCCCCAGACCCTAGCAACCACCATTCCAGTCTCTGTCTCTATGAATTTGGCTACTCTAGGTTCTTGCAGCACCAATTTTAAGGACAGTCTAGTATGAGATAGGACCCTTACACCTAAGATTCATGTTATCACTCAACAATACATGTATTTTTTCAGGAATGATATTTCTTTTTTAAAAAGATTTTATTTATTCATGAGAGACACAGACAGAGAGGCAGAGACACAGACAGAGGGAGAAGCAGGCCCCATGCAGGGAGCCCAATGTGGGACTAGATCCCGGGACTCTGGGATCACGCCCCGAGCCAAAGGCTCAACCACTGAGCCACCCAGGTGTCCTAAGAATGATATTTCTATTTTGTAATGTGATATACCAGGATTTTGTTACGTCTGCGGAAACATCCTAATTATCACATCATTCTCCTAGACAATTCAGCCTATTTATACTGAAAGCAAGTATCAATATACATAAGTCTTAAAATAGTGAAGTGATACTTTGAGCAAAATAAAAGTATACATTATGCTGTTACAGCAAGCCAAACCAGTAAGTCTTGAAACTCCCATCAACAAATAACTGTGAATGATGTCAGTTATGCCAAACATGACTATTCTGTAAAATGGTTGTTTTAAACATGCATTATATTACATTGAACCTTATGCAAATTAAGAGCCTAGAATGCCTAAGGAAGATTATGCATTTTAAAAATTGCCAGATACATGTTTGCTCTCTATATGTACTATTACTATTAAAACATCTAATACTTATTAAGCACTTAGTATGTGTCAGTGCTGTGCTGAGTGATAACTTTTTATATGCTATAGGCAGTTTTCCATTATTTCTTAAAAGATTTTATTTATTTGAGAGAGAGAGAGAATAAGCAGCGGGGAGGGGAAGATGGAGAGGGAAAAGCAGGCTCCCAGCTGACCAGGGAGCCCCAAGCGGGGTTTGATTCCAGAACCCTGGGATCATGACCTGAGCTGAAGGCAGATACTTAACTGTCTGAGCTACCCAGTGCCCCACATTTTTCTTTCTTTAAACTGTGGTAAAATACACATAACATAAAATTTACCATGTTAACCATGTTTAAGTATACCAGTTCGGCGGTGTCATGTATATTCACATTGCTGTGCGATGTGCTTTAAGTTTTTTTTCTTCCAGTTTTTTTGAGATATTTTACACTGATTACTGTACTCACTTCAACAAACCTATGAGGCAGATACTGTCACATTCCCATTTTGCAGAGGAGGAAATTAAGGCATAGAATGGGTAATGTGCATGTGAATAACCAGGCTAAATCTGTATGATGCCACTTGTAGGTCCTCACTTCTCAGGCATTCATTCTTCAACCCAGTCCAATCTGGCTTCATCTCACCCCACCCCTCTCTCCATGGAACTTGCTTGCAAATATAAGAAATTCATGAATAATTTCCATTTTAGTAACTCAAAGGACACCTTCAGTTTTTATCATGTTTGACCACTAGATAGCGTATGACTTAATACTTTTCCTTGTTTTTTCAAGGTACTACTGGTGATCTTTTAAAGCTGTTTCCTATGGGCTTCTAAGAGGCAGTCAGTTAAGTGGCTGTCTTTGGCTCAGATCATGCATGATCCTGGGGTCCAGGGATCAAGCCCCATATGGGGCTTCCTGCTCTGTGGGGAGTCAGCTTCTCCCTCTCCCTTTGCCAGCCACTCCCCCTGCTCATGAGGTCATGCGCTCTCTCTCTCTCTCTCTCTCTCTCTAATAAATAAATAAAATCTTTAAAAAAATAAAGCTGTTTCCTAGAGCCTCTTTTCTCCTTTTATATTCTCTCCATACATCATATCATTCATTCCCATAGCTTTAAATAAGGATCTATTGATAATGCCTAAATGTGTGTCTCTAGCCCAGATCTCTGGGCCTTCAAACTAGTACAACTAACATTTCTATTTAGAGATCTCAGAGAACTTCAAACTGAACATGTCCAACACTAAACTTGTTTTCCCTTCTTTATCCACGTTTTTGCCAAAGTTTCCCCTCTTCTGTGGCCCCACTGGACCCATTAGTTGCCCAAGCCAGAGGCCTAGTAGTCCTCTTTGCCACCACCATCATCCGCCCTCCATCAAATCTATCAGCAACTGATTCTACCTTTCAAATATCTCATGAATCTTCCACTCTTCTTCACAGCCACAGCCATCACAGTAGCCAGGGTCACTGTACTTGCCTCTTATGCAATTATCCCACATCTTTGCCTACTCCCAATCTACTTACCACTCGGCAGCCATCTCTCAAAGATGTGAATCTGGTCATGTCAATCACAGACTTAGAATTCTTCAATGGCTTCACATTGGCCTTAGGAGGACAAAGTGAAAAATCTTTTTTTTTTTTAAAAAAAGTGAAAAATCTTTAGCATGACTTGGAAGGCCCTACTTCCACAGATCTTACACGACTCCACATCTCCAATCCCAACTCTCATCACTTCATCATTTTTAAATTTTTATTTTTTTAAAATATTTTATTTATTTATTCGAGAGAGAGAGAGAGTGCATGAGAGAGAGAGAGCAGCAAGCACAAGCAGGGGCAGAGTGAGAGGGAGAAGCAGACACCCCAATGAGCAGGGAGCCCAACGTGGGGCTCAATCCCAGGACCCAGTGATCATGACCTGAGCTGAAGGCAGACACCCATCCGACTGAGCCACCCAGGCACCCTCATCACTTCATCTTTACTCCCACCCTGGCCAGAATGCACTTGTTTCAAATTCTCTATACACTCTATTCTTGACACACTATACTCCTTTTAGTTTCCAGGCCTTCACACATGACATTTTTTTAATCTGGTATACTGCCTGTCCCTATGATCCATATCCCAAGCTAGCTAACTCCTACAAATCAGTAAGATCTCAACTAAGGGAGGTCATTCCTACTTCAGCCCTCCTACTAGGTTAAATATCTCTGGTAACTAGATCAGAACTTAATACATAGGAGGTTCTTAAAAATATTTGTTGACTTAGGTGAGTAGAAAAAAAGAATGACTAGGTATACAGGTCTTTGATAGACAAACAAGTGCTCAATAAATATTATTAAATGAATGAGTAAATGAGTGAATGAAGAGAAGAAGAAAGATTTATTTAATGAACAATTCTAATTTTTTCCCAGTAAAATATTGCATTTGTGGAATTTATACTAGATACCATTCTACTAAGAAGAAAATATCCAGGTTCTTTTTTATATATAATTTCTTAAAAGATTATTTATTTTAGAGAAAGGAGTGGGGAGAGGCAGAGGGAGAGGGAAGGAAAATCTCAAGCAGACTCTGTGCTGAGTGCAGAGCCCAGCATAGGGCTTGATCCCACGATCCATGAGATCACGACCTGATTTGACACCAAGAGTTGGACACTTAACTGACTATGCCACCCGGGCACCACAGAAAATATCCAGTTTCAAGATTAGGAAGCAATAATTTAAAATGAGTTCTAAGCTATAATATTTCACTAAAAATCATGTAAGAGAAATCTATGAACAATTGTATGTCAACAAATTGGATAATCTAGAAGAATTGGGCAAATTCCTAAAAAACACACAAATTACCTAATCACCTCAAGAGAAAAGAGAAAATCTCAACAGATCTGTAAACAAGTATAGAGACTGAATCTGTTTCAAAATCCTCCCAACAAAGAAAAGTCTAGGACTGGATATGGTTTCACTGGTGAATTTCACCAAACATTTAAAGGATCAATACCAATTCTGTTCAAACTCTTCCAAAAATAGAAGAGGAAGAACATTTCCTAATATATTCTATATGAGATAGCATTACCCTGATATCAAAGGCAGCAAAGATACTATAAGAAAACTACAGACCAACGTCCCTTATGAATACAGATGGAAAAGTTCTCAACAAAATAATAGTAAGCCAAATCTAATAGTACATTAAAAGGATTATACAATACGACCAAGTGGGATTTATTCCAGGAATGTGAAGGTGGTTCAATATAAGAAAACCAATGTAATGTATTTTATTAACAGAACAAAGGGGGTAAAAACACATGATCATCTCAATTAATGCAGGAAGCATTTGAAACAATTCAACATGCTTTCGTGATAAAAATACTCAGCAAGTAGGAATAGAAAGGAACTTCCCTAACATGATAAAGGGCATTTACCAAAACCTATAGCTAATATTATACTCAATAATGAAAATCTGAAAGCTTTCAATGTAGGGAACAAGACAAACAGGGATGTGTTTTTTTTCTTTTCTTTGCTCTTTCTTTCTCTTTCTCTCTCTCTTTCTTTCTTTCTTCTTTCTTTTCTTTTCTTTCTTTCCTTCCTTTCTTTCCTCTCTTCTTTCTTTCCTCTCTTCTTTCTTTCCTTTCTTTCTTTCTCTTTCTTTCTTTCCTTTCTTTCTTTCTTTCTTTCTTTCTTTTCTTCTTTCTTTCTTTCTTTCTTTCTTTCTTTCTTTCTTTCTTTCTTCTTTCCTTTTTTAGAGGGAGGGTGGAGAAGGTAGAGAGAGAATCTCAAGCAGGCTCCATGCCCAGCACAGAGCTGACATGGGGCTTGATCTCACGATCCTGAGATTGTGACCTGAGCCAAAATCAAGAGTCAGATGAGATGCTCAACAGATTGAGCCACCCAGGTGCCCCAAGATGTCTGCTTTTTGAAACAAGAGAGAGGTGGTAGTTGAACAACATTGTAAATGCACTAAATGCCCCTGAATCATATACTTTAAAATAGTTAACTGTGTCTTATATGAATTTCACATCAATAAAAGGATTCATAGAGTGAATCATTTGTTCATTTTGGTTTACTGATCTATAAGCATATTTCCTATGTTTACAGGATAATTGGTAGATATGAGTTATAATTTAGAGATTACATTATAACACCATGAAAAACAAACTTTATTTTCAATTCAAGATAAATGTGAGATAAAAGTCTAAGTAAAAGCCTAAAAACTACTCTTAGGAGAGCTTGCAAATTTTTCTCTCAAAATTAGAATGTTCTTTTAAAAATTGGAAGCCAGATGGCCCTATAGATAAAAACAAATCTCAATGTTAAATCCAGATGGGATTTAAAAGTTAATTCTGCTGCAGCTGCAGCAAAGCAATCATACTGTAGTCAATGTGTTTATTTTTCCTTCAGTGATGTTTAGAGCACTTTTTCTCAAATTGGGAACTTATTGGAAAGGCAAATTTTCAGGCCCTACCCCAGATCTCCAGAATCAGAAACTCTGGGGTTGGGGATCAGTAGTCTGTTTTAATAAGCCTTCCAGGTGCATACTCAAGTTTGAGAACCACAAGTTGAGACCAATAGCACAAGCCTTGGCCAGTGAGGCTGCTACAAGCATTTTCTTACCAGACAATGTTGTGTCATAAACGTTGTGCTATTTCTTCGAGTTGTTAATGTGTCAGCTTGGAACACCTGTGAGTTATCACTATGAAGGAAAAGAAAACAGTTGAAATCCATTACGAAAAAAAAATTTTTAAAGAAATAAGATTTCAATTACTTAAACAGCAATGCCATTAATGTAAATGCATTCTTTGTGGGGATAGCTGTGTAGATGGAGGAATTAAAACACGTGCACACACACATGCATGCACACATACATGCACACAAAGCCTTAGTTGGTTAAGCCTAACAAACGTCCATGTAAGGGAAGGAATTCTCAAGTATGCCACTTTACCACTAATCATGCTACCAAGAATAATTTATCATGACCTTGGAAATGCATCATTTTCTGTGCAAACCTGTAACTGATTTAAGTTTATGGTTGAAGCTAAAATGTGTAGTACCAATTCCCTCTCAACTCTAAAGTTTTCACATGAACAAGAGGGATAATCAAATAGCAGAGGTTAACAGAACTGAGATTTTCACAGGTATGTTTTGACCTATTCAGTATTAAAAATTTAAATTAGTTGCACACCCTCGAAACACTGAGAGGTTTCACATAAATAATCTAGATTCCAGATTTCTAGCTTCTTTTGAAAATTTGCAAGCTGTGGCCACACTGGGCCACATTTCCACATGGCAACAACAGACCAAAGCTAAGCAACTGTTGTCTGTTAAAGCGGGGGCTAGTCTTCCTCAGCTTTGATGGTGTCTCAGCCCTATATGAGCTTGGGACCCTGAAGAAGTCTTTTCCTTATGATGTCTTCTTTTCATTTTAACTTTCTATTTTGAAGCTGTTTAAGACTCACAAGACGTTGCAAAAAATACAGAAGGTCCCCATGTACCTTTCATCCAGTTTTCCCCGATGATGGTAAGAAGTCATCCTTAACTTCCTTCCCTCCCCTCCTCCCATATTCAATCAGGTGCTAGGTCTCTCTTACTGCCATCTTACTCTTTTCATGTTCCTTGCCAAAAACCAATTCAAAGCCTTTTTACTTTCCTACAGACTCCGCAATAGTCTAATTCGTCCTTTCATTTCGCCTTTATCTCTACGGCAATCTACGTATCAGACTGCCAAGTCGCCCTCCTGAAGAACAGGTTGCTCTCCTGCTCACAACTTTCAGTAACTCTCTTCATTGTGAGCTGGATTCAGTTACATTCTTTTTACTATGACATTCAAAGCCCTCCACCATTTAGCTCTAGGTTTTTGGATTTCATGGACTAGCAAAATTTCACAACAAAATCCTGGCACAAACATATAGTTGCTAACCATCTTTCTTTTCCCAAGTAAGGTCATTTAAAAAATCCTACCATCAAGATCCCTGGGTGGCGCAGCGGTTTGGTGCCTGCCTTTAGCCTGGGGCGTGATCCTGGAGAACCGGGATCAAATCCCATGTTGGGCTCCTGGTGCATGGAGCCTGCTTCTCCCTCTGCCTGTGTCTCTGCCCCCCTCTCCCTCTCTGTGTGTGACTATCATAAATAAATAAAAATTTTTAAAAAATCCTACCATCTACCAAAACCATCATTTCATTTATAAAAGGACATTTTGGAGGTGTGCCTGGGTGGCTCAGTTGGTTAAGCATCTGCCTTTGGCTCAGGTCAGGATCCTGGGGTCCTGGGATCAAGTCCCACATTGGGCTCCCTGCTCAGTGGGCAGCCTGCTTCTCCCTCTGCCTCTGCCTGCTGCTCCCGCTGCTTGTGCTCGCTCTGTCAAATAAATAAATTTTTAAAAAGGACATTTTGCTATATTAAAAAATTATAATAATCACAGGGTAAAATACAGCCCTGCCCAGGAAAGGACAATTGACCAACTACATCACAACCTATTTAAGTACTCTGCACCTTTTTTAAAGATTTATTTATTTATTTATTTATTTATTTATTTATTTATTTATGAGAGAGAGAGAGAGAGAGAGAGAGAGAGAGAGAGAGGCAGAGACACAGGAGGAGGGAGAAGCAGGCTCCATACCGGGAGCCCGATGTGGGACTCGATCCCAGGACTCCAGGATCGCGCCCTGGGCCAAAGGCAGGCGCTAAACCGCTGAGCCACCCAGGGATCCCCACTCTGCACTTTTTTTAAAAAAACAGGAGTTGGTGAAAATGTCACCTAGGGTCAGCACTGGTCAGCAAATGAACATCTGGGAGCCAGTGACCTGGGCAGAGTTGACCAGCTCTCTGGAATACACCTATGTTTTCCTGTACCCAAGCTTGTTCCATATACTTGGAATGCTATCCCAGCTCTCCAGCTCCTCTCTTCCTGTCTGCATCCTATCAATCCATCAGGATCCATTTCATATGCCTCCTAAGAATATTTTCCTTATCCCTCACCAACTCTGCTCTCATTTCTCACTCCATTCTTCGAATCTCCCTAGCACTTTCTTTCCCTCCTTAAGCATATATCTTACCCTATCATATATTTAAGTCCTCTGATTATTTATTTGCCCTACTAAATTAAAAGCTTATTGAATCAAGACACATCTTTGCAGCATGGTCATTTATATATAACAGGCAGTAACTCAATATTTTATGAGGATATGTATGTATGGGTCTAAGTTTTACTCATTTTCCAGTCATTTTCCTTTTTAAGAACAGGAATATATTCTAGCAGTCACTTATAAGAATGTTGGAGAGACACTAATGGGTTGCATATTTCTACTTTTTTGTATGGTGGGGGGGGAGTAATTCTTAAAGCTGGTAATTATATTTTCCCCTAAATTTTTATCTGTCAATTTTAATAAGACTATAACTGAAAGGAATCATGAGGAAGTATATATTTTCAACTGGTAGGAGTGATTCAACATGAATTCATAAAATCCTAGGTGATATCTACAACTGAGTTAAGTGCTACCACTTAGACAAGTGAAGGCAATATAACTAGATATACGTTCAATGGTCCACATTAAATGATCCATAAGTAGCTCTGTCGAAAAATCTAAGCTACAATATGTTTATTCCAGTCATATTCCCAAAGCAATCATTCTCTATGGCCACTGTTCTCCTTCCAGTAAGCCAGATGGTTGGTAAACTTCTTCTGCAAAGGGCCAGACAGCAAATATTTTGGGCTTTGTGGGACATCTAATCTCTGTGGCAACTACTCAAATCTGTCACTGTAGTGGGAAAGTGGCTGTGGACAATAGGTAAGCAAATGGGCCTGGCTATGTTCCAATAAAACTTTATTTACAAAACCAAGTGGCAGGCTGGATTTGGCCCAAGTAGTTTGACTTTCAAGCAGTTTAAATGCAGAGTCAAGCTAGAGTATTTACAGCAGGAAGGCACTGGCAGAAATCCCAGAACTTACTCTCTAATTCTCATAAGGGCCAGAGAAGTAAAAAACAAAAACAAAAACAAAAAACTACTACCTTCAAATAAAGTTATTGACACCAATAGTGAAGTCAGCTAAGCAGAGGGTAACGAGTATAAAGAACCAAGAGGTTCAAAACTTTTGACATTGGTATTTTTATTAATACAAGATGTACACAAAACAGTACAGGAACTCCTTTAAAAACAATTAATACTTGTATTAAATATGATATTTAAGGAACAAATTCTGCAAGCGTGGGTGCAAGAGAGATTGCGTTTATATACAAGCATCAAGCAAAACTGGAAAATTACTTGACAGAAGTGCAACAATTATTTAGTGATCAGTGCAAGGGGCGAGTTTTAGGGGTTCAAATAAGTGAAAGTGAGGGAGGTGAGCAGTGTACACATGCAACCGAGGAGAATGGAGGTGAACATGAATTCAACTAAGGCGTAGTGTAATTCTACTCTAAACTGTTCTCGCTTCCGTGACCACATCGTAAGCTGGCCACAACAGCACAAAATCTGCCCTCAGGAGATCATTTGGCCAAATTCCCTGCCCTCAGGCATATTATGTAGCACTTCGATGCTACTTCTTTTTGACAGACAAGAGTCCCTGGACCTGATCCACCTTGCAGTTTCTCTTTTTTTTTTAAGATTTTATTTATTTGTTCATAGAGACACACAGAGAGAGGCAGAGACACAGGCAGAGGGAGAAGCGGGCTCAATGCAGGGAGCCGGAGCCAGACCCGGGACTCGATCCCCAATCCCCAGGATCACGCCCCGGGCTGCAGGTGGCGCTAAACCTCTGCGCCACTGGGGCTGCCCCACCTTGCAGTTTCTTTATCTGTAACTCCTACTAAGTAAATATGCAATCGCCTCTTACCTTTCTGTACCAATTTCACTTCATGTGTCAGGAACATAAGTGATAGAATTCGACACTGTAACTATGCCCTAATATGATAAAAAAAATATATAAGTCCTTTGCCAAACAAAACAAAGCATGAAGGGATAATGGCCATCACTCTCCTTGCTTCTAGGGCTGTTTGCAATGTGTTTTTTTCATTTCATAAAGGCTTCAAATAAAACCAATATTTGCCCTGTTTTCTTCTAGCAGCGCAGGTTCACAATTCATGTTTTCATACAACAGGATTAGAGTCGATCCTGAATTTATAGAATATTCTTGTTTTCTGTCCAACGTGTACAGTGCTGCCCCTTTATTTCTCTGCCTATTAAAAAAATATTAAATTGGGACGCCTGGGTGTCTCAGTGGTTGAGCATCTGCCTTCGGCTTGGAACATGATCCCGGAGTCCTGGGATCGAGTCCCACATCAGGCTCCCTGCATGGTGTAAAACTGGGGTCCTGAAAAAAAACAAAAAACAAAAAACTGGGGTCCTGGGATTGAGTTTCGATCTGGCTCCCTTCAGGTGACTGCTTCTTCCTCTGCCTATGTCTGTCTCTCTCTGTGTCTCTCATGAATAAATAAAATCTTTTTTAAAAATTATGTATTTTCTGTTTAATCTTAGTTTGCATTTCCTTTTGTTCAGTATATTCTTCCTTTCCTCAAATGACCAAAAAGCTGCATTTGTTTAGAGTTAATAAGCTTAGAAGTTGACAGGTGCCTGGGTGGGCAGTTAAGCCTCCGACTCTTGGTTTTGGTTCAGGTTGTGATCTCAGGGTTGTGGGATCAAGCTGGTGTCAGGCTCCGTGCTGAGCACCGAGCCTGAGTTTCTGTCTCCCTCTCCCTCTGCTCCCCCCCTCATGCTTGCACTTTCCCTCACTGTAAAATAAATAAACAAAACTTTTTTAAAAAGCCTAAAAGTTGATTAGTAGTGGACAAATCACTAAGCATAGGAATCAGGAGACACAGGTTCCTAGTCCTGGCTCTGTTACTATGTCATTGTAGAGACTTATGGGCCTTGGTTTCCTCATATGTTAAATAAGGAGGGTAGATCTGGTCTCTGTGTTCACTTCTAACAATTGTGATTTATACCTATCAATTAGAACGATGCTAGCAAAAGGAAGGAGCAAAGTTACTAACACAATGAGCGAGTGCATTTTCCAAACATTTTTACAATACTGATAAAACTTTATATGACCCTGGGATATGAGATCCAAGATCTTACTTTCAAATTCTATGTAAAGAAATTATAAGCATGTGTCATGCCAGACATTTGGATGCGTCCAGAAAATAGTTAACAATCAGGACAGTGTTTCTAAATCTTATACTTTTCACTATCAGCCCTCTAAGGAGCCATTTTCAACATTCCCCCCCACCCCCAATTACTCCCTCTTGAAAAGTCTCACAAAATTTTTATGTATAGTTGTGACTTATATATAAAAGGAGCAAGATTTTTTCGCACACCCCCAAGAACCAAGTTGGGGGCAGTATCGGCCATTGAGAATGCAAAATTTATGAGGTCAAGTTTTTGTGGTACCTAAATTTTTTGTTCAAATAAAAACTAGGTGTAAAAAAGGTCTGAGCTTATTCGCTTGGTAACCATTTCCATTTGCTGGAGGTGAAGGTCAGAGGTGACAAAGCAGCTGAGAGAATGACAAAAAATTACAGTCATCACAGAAGATTTGGAGGCGAGGGTGGGGAATGCTGTTTCTTCAAAGGAGTGGGTAAGAGATGGGGTGAAGTTAGAAAAGTTGTGCTCCACACCAATAGGTTGCTGCTTTTTGGTCCTGGTGGACTGTCAGAAGAAGACGTCCAGGTTCACATGCGTGTCAACCTCAGGGTAGGTGTGTGCTCTCCCTCCAGCCAGCCCATCCCACTCCCCCCAAGTGTGAGGGTGAACTCTCCCGACAGAAGGAACAAGGGAGATACCTGTAGAACCTCGATGGAGAAAGGCATGGGAATGCTATTGGAAGTAGCTTTCCCCACCTCCTGCCACCCACCCCCAGCTTGCCTCCTCTAATATCTCAATCCTGCTCACCCAAGCCCATTGATCAAAGGGGCGCTGTTGGATCTTCTCAGCGTGTTGTCTGTGGTGGCTGAAGTTGGCAGCAGCTCCAAGTCTAGTTCCATTTTCTCTTGTGCCATGTCCACGTCGAAGAAGAAGCCACTCTTTGATTCCAAGTTCTCAAGGTTTTCTGGCTCCCATTCACATAAGGACAAGTCAACTGGGTGAGGAGATGTAGGCAGAGAGGAAAAGGGGAAAAAGAGAAGAGAGGAGGAACCTCTTAGAGGAGTGAGGTACTCACCTTGACAGCCCTACCATCCCTAATACCAGTGGGCACAAAGTGGGGTAGGATTGACTCCGAACCTCCCACCCTCCAAGCTCGAGGTTCCTAACGCTGAGAAGATCCTCCACTTCCAAGTCTATAATGAAAATGAGGAATTTATCTTAGTCACCTCCGCGAATCATTCTCTATTTCTCTCAGCAAAGGAAAGCCCAGGTAAGCCTTTCCGGCCAAAACGAAAACTACAACCCGTCGCCTTCGAGAATCCGTCGGGTGCCGCCCCTCTGCGCCTGCGCCCCGTCCCGCCTGCTGACGCATGCTTATTACGCCAGCAATGAGAGTCAATAAGGGCGCCCTTTGTCAGCCTTGCCTGGGGAGCACGCGCAGTCTTAGGAGTCGCCTTTTTACCCCAACCCAGGTCCTCTCTTAGTCTCTTCTCGGGCTCTCTTCACGGGCGATTCGCCGTGGTTGTTCCTCTGCTCCTATGTGAACCCTGGGATGGTTTCACTCACCGTTATTTAGGAAAGAACGGGTGGGGAGGAGTAAGGTGTATGAGAGCGCCGTCCTTTATGCGCTGTATCTAATACTCCCGTTTTCTCAGTTTTGATTAGCCCGTTATCCCCTTCTAACTGAGGCCAAGAAGCTTAACTCCCACGATGAATTTTTCCATCCTGTTACAGCCAATACTACACATTTGTAATTGAGAAAAATGCTATATGTCTGGGGGGAAAAGAAAAAAACCCAAAACCTGCCACCTGTTCCCAAAGTGTCTTGTATCAATTGCTAACCCAATTGAACCAATCGTGCAGGCGAATCATTGTTTTCCAGGTGATCTCATTGTCTTTTTAAAAAAGATTTTATTTACTTATTCATGAGAGACACAGAGAGGGAAGGCAGAGACACAGGTAGAGGGAGAAGCCCGCTCCATGCAGGGAGGCCAGTGTGGGACTCCATCCCGGGAAGATCACGCCCCAGGCGAAAGGCCCGCGCTAAACCGCTGAGCCACCCAGGGATCCCCTCATTGTTTTTTAACCTTAATCGTAAGTGTATTTTTACACTAAATAAAATTTAGCTTCTCAAAGCTATTCATCTAAGAAAATGATTTGAGTTAGTTAGAGAAGCTTATTTACTTAAATATCTCAGAATTTAGTATCCATCCAAATCAGGGTTTCCTTTTTTAAAGATTTTATTTATTTATTCATGAAAGACACAGAAAGAGAGGCAGAGACACAGGCAGAGGGAGAAGCAGGCTCCATGCGAGGAGCCAGATGCAAGACTGGATTCCAGGAATCTGGGATCAGGCCCTGAGCCAAAGGCAGATGCCCAACCGTTGAGCCACCCAGGTATCCCTACTTTAAAAAAAAAAAAAGATTTTATTTATTCATGAGAAACACAGAGAGAGGCAGAGAGACATAGGCAGAGGGAGAAGCAGGCTCCCTGTGGGGAGCCCAATGCAGGACTTGATCCCAGACCCCAGAATCACAACCTGAACTAAAGGCAGACTCTCAATCACAGAGCCACCCAGGTGCCCCAGGGTTTTCATTTAATGATGCTGTTGTGGCTCAAACATTTTAAGAATTGCTCTTTTAGAATTTTTCACCACCAGTTAATGAGCCACACTGAGTACTGAAATCCTAACTCCACACTAATAATTTTGTAAGACCATACCTTTTAGGAACCATATACAGGACTGGCAGAGAAGGTAAGTGAAACTACTGAAATGAGAGTTATGAATTAAAATAATCATTACATGGTATAGCACTTTAACGGTTTAAAAAATGTCTTCACATACTTATCTCAATTGGTTCAATCATGAACCCTGCTCAGCTAATCAGTGGTGAACTTAAAATAATGGGATTATCTTGAAACAGTTCATGACAAGTTATGACATGAATGATCATAATCATTCCTCATTCATTCTGAGAACAGAATAAGAAAAGCTTAATTATATCAGGCAGAATTGGGTTATCTAAATCCCAGACACGAGAACGATTTGGAGTCTCCTTTCCTGATGTAAGACAGGTTAACAATAGCTACCATTTTTCATGCACTTAATTATATGCCAGGGACTGTCCTAAGCACTTTAAATATGTGATTGCATCTAACACTTACAGTAACTCTGTGAGGTAGGCACCATCACAATGCCCATTTTTTTAAAGGAGGAAACTGAACCCCATAGGGGTTACTCAAATTATAACTGCTAAGTGGCAAAGCCACTCTGCCCTTGTATGTAGGTGAAAAGACAGATGAGGTGCCTCTGGATATTTCTCTAGATACTATTTCTGTACTCATAAGCACTTGATAAATACTTATTAAATTATTTTACGAATAAATGCAGGTTTTAAAAACCTGTCATTCACAGCTATTTTGTAAAGTAGGCAAGTCTACTTCTATTTTACAGTTGATAAAATTCCAGAGAGATTAATGGCATATTTAGGTAGCAGTAGAATCTGAGCTGGTACCAAGATCTCCTAAAAATCACTGTTAAAGTTCCTGGGATACCTGGAAAGTTTACAAAAGATGGTAGTTAAAGCTGAATAAAGTCAGGGTGAATGTAGATGGCAGTGGTTAAATACAGAACAGGGGTCAAAGCCAAACTAAATATCAGAAAAATAGGGGGTACACCAGAAAACAAGTAGATCTTTGCTCCACTCTACTGCTCATTTTACTTCTCAAAGAGTTTGTTAATATTCGTGGCAAGTAATAAGGTTTAATGGATATATATTGAAAGAATAGATCATCTCATCATGCCTAAGCATTACAGATACCAATTTTTAAAAATCTAAGTATAATAACACTAAGAAAATAGTTAATAAAATGACAAGGGAGGAGCAACTGTGAGACTTTGAAGAAAAGGGGTAGTAATATGAAACGATAACATGGATAACATGCTCAAGATGGCAGGAAGTTTGCAGCTATTACCAAAGAAGAGGAATTCTCTAATTAAAGTGTAGCTGAATGCCAGGAACTCAGAGTACATATGCAAGTTAGAATGTCAAAAGGAACAAGTACTACAAAAACAATTCTGTATACCACAGGGGCAAACACAACATTTAAAGAAAATATTTTTACTTCTTCCCATTTCTACTCACGCACTATTATACCAACCTAGCTGGGTGTCATCATCAGCTTCTGCTGTTCTGTAGCAATATGCCATGATCTCAGATTGCTGGTTTGCTTCTACCTTGCCACTTATGCTACTCTTGTCTTTGTCCCAGTCTGCTACCATCTGTGCCAGGCCTCTTACTTATAAAAGATGTCCCACAAATATGTCATAATCAGTTGTTTACTAGTCGTCATGGCAACTTTAAAGCAAATTTTCCTTATCACAAAAGCAAATCAAAGGCAAGCTGAACCCAAGCCCACAAACCACAAATACCCTAAACCTCCCAAAAGATTTATATGAAGGGTAAGAGAAAGTAGGTAGGCAAGAATGATATGAATAGAATCTGGAAATGATGGCCAAGGTAGCATCCATCTTCTAACATGTCTTTGAGTTTCTCCTAATTGTTACGGTCCTGAAAGTTAGGGATTCTACTAAATCATTTGACTCCTCAGAGTTAGGAATTCTACATGTAGCCAACAAATGATTGTTTAGTAGCTATTGTGAACAATAGAATGTACTATGTTGTTTTGAGCAGATGAGGGGGTTGCTGAGACCTTGAGATAAAAAGAGCTACATAAATTGGTCAAAAACAGAGCTTGCTTTTCCAATCCAGTTGGAAGAAAAATATAGGCAATTTAAAGGAAACTATCTAAAAGTGCTTTAAAAACTCTATATTACAAGCAGCGAATATTAACATTGAGGAATAAAATGATTGGATTTGGCAAGTTTAATATGGGACAACTAAGTTGAATAGGCAGGTAAAATTATTTTTGCTAAATTTAAAAAAAACATTTAATTTATTTATGAGAGACACACACACACACAGAGGCAGAAACATAGGCAGAGTGAGGAGAAGCAGGATCCATGCAGGGAACCCAATGTGGGGGACTCAATCCCGGAACTCCGGGATCATGCCCTGAGCTGAAGGCAGATGCTCAACCACTGAGCCACCCAGGCATTCCTATTTTTGCTAAATTAAAAAAATTAATTTATTTATTTGAGAGAAAGAGCGAGCACGAGAAGAGGGGCAGGGCATAGGGAGAGGGACCAGCAGACCCCCCTGAGCAGGGAGTTTCACGCCCACATGGGGCTCCATCCCAGGACCCTGGGATCATGACCTGAGCCAAAGGCAGATGCCCAATGGACTGAACCACCCAGGTGCCCCTATTTTTGCTATATTTTGAAACCAATTCATGACTATTAAATTTTCTGTATTTCTCCGTCTGTATGATTAACACAATACAATACCATATTTATCCCATGGTTATTCAAGTAGCGAGGATTAAATGAGTTAATATTTCTAAAGCTCTTAGAATGGTGCCTAGCACACAGCAATTGCTACGTAGGTATTTGTTAAATAAAATAAGTAATTCCAGGCCTCACACATGCTGAATGACTATTGTTAGGGTCTCTGTAAATCCTAGGAAGGAAAAAAAATTCTGGTTCTGCTACTTGTTCTTCAGGACTTTTCCTAATATCGTTGAAGCTGACAATGCTTGTAAAATGAAGATGGTGATTGCCACTCGCTATATGAACTCTTATTCGATTCTCTTTATTTTTACACCATTGCTTTTGTTTTTTCACTTCCCTTTTGTCTAGTGCATCCAAACGGGTTATCTGAAAAAAAAAAATCAGCCCCTCCAAACACCAAACAAAATCAAGGGATTTAAGAAATGGGCAGAGATCACAGAGATCAGAGCAAATAAACTGGCATTGAAAAAACATGGAAACCACAAGTTTCTGTTTCCCTTGAATATTGGCCCAAACTCCTCCTGAACGGCGATGCTCCACTGTCTCCAAACTATTGGCTCTTTTCAAAATCGGGCGCCAGGGTCCCCGGGCCAATGCCAGAGAGGAAGGCGCCGGGCCCCCTGAAAACGCTCCTCCCTTTTGGAGGAGGTTTGCGGGGCGGGGTTCCCACGCATGCTCGGTGCCCGCGGGCTCATTGGCGCGGCCGCCGGGCGCGTGCGCAGGACCCGATGGGTGCCCGGACGCGGAAGACTTGGCCCCGCGGCGGTTCCCGCTTCTGAAGCGTGGGAGGCGGAAAAGGCGGCAGGTTGTAGATTTTGGTCTTGGCCCCAAGGGGTTCCCTCGGGCCATTAGAACCCAAGAGAGGAAGAGGAGGCACCGCGGCGGCGGCTGAGGGGCCGAACCCCCC